CGATTTTCTTAATAATGTTCTGTTGTGTTTCAGATAGCACTGTTATAAAAAAATACCTTGTGTGCATTTTAGGAGAAATTGTCAAAAACTGCGTCTCGTGTTACGTGGGCAAATAGTTCAGATGTTCATGGAAACCGCGAGGCTGTTTATAAAGTAGTGAAGGAAAACAATCGACTACGGGATGAACTAAAGCTGATGTCTTCGAAGCAGCAAAAACTCCTTAAAGAACTAGAAATAATGCGTACCAAACCGTTTTCAATGAAGAACCTCGTGTCGAAAGGAGTTCAGGTGAAGGAGGAGGATGAAAAGAAAACGTCTAGAAAACTGGAACAAGATGTGACTGCTCATTTCGCTGAATCAGTCAATTCAGAGAAGGTACGAAGTGTATATTTTCTATACGCTGACAATTTTCTAACAGGAAGAGTACATCTCACGATTAGAATCATTACTGAAAAGAGAAATTGAAAAGTACAACGGCAAAGTTATAGAAAATGGGTCGTTGAAAAGAAAAGTTAGTTATTTGTAAACTTGTTTTACTATTTTTTTCATATTCACTGCAGATGGATGTTATTGGAGACACATTCATGGACAGAACAAAGGATGACGATGAACAGCTGGAGATCATAAGGTCAATAAGGCAAGTACATTTCTTACTCTAACGGTTCGTTGAACGTCAAGTCATTATGGTCAACGCACTTTCCAGTGTTCTATTTTTTCGTGGCGGTTAATATTAATGTTATAACAACTACATGATGAGTAGTTCATACTAGTAGATTCATAATTGCTTTCTATAGCCTGATATCCCATTATTTCATAATTTTCTAAACGTACTACTGCATACTTACTAACTATGGAGGCATGTTGGAAGTGAGTTTGCAGTAACAAACGAACAATAACGTTGCACTTGATTTGTTTCGAAGATCGTTAGCGTCAGTGTTCGTTGGGTTCTCTTTGAGAAAACTAAGTGTGGTCGTTTTATTGATCAAGGATTGTACTCGAAATTTCTTCATCATGGTCAAATTTGCCTTATAGACAGACAGCAGAAGGCGATCTATGGGCCAACCTTTAGATATTTTTTGTCTATCCGACTGTTGTAGAATTCAAGATGGTATATTATCAGGTAACAGCTTGCGAAAATAAAAACGATTGTGACTGACGCCTGCATAAGTTTCAAGGATTTTATTTACCTTGTCTACCATGCTCTAAGTACAAGGTTACCATTATTGACAGTGGCCATGACCCGTTTAAAATGCTTGCTGTAATGTTTAGAGTAATAGATGCCACGAAAACGTTTACTTGTCGAAGAGTATACGCACCAAAGTGACCTGGTTTATAATATACATGGTAGAACCCTTCATTCACAATAGCTTTAGCTCACAAATCTCAACGATTTTTAATCTCGGCATATTGGATCTAAAGCGTTCATTCACTGAATCATAATATACTACACTTTTGTCACCGTGATGCGCCTCATTTTCATTTTCATTAAACTTGCCCAAATTTTGGACAGTGTCAATCTGCTCCTACCCATCGATGTATTACTGGACGACTGAATCGGGTGGTCTTCTTTCAGGTCCTTTGGAGTTTCATGATTTAGTAATGTTCGACCGCCTCATACATCAAGTTTTATAGTTTTCCCTCGTTCCTTTCACACTTCGCTGTTCATATTACATCGACTGATCTGGCATATTCACGTCTTACGTTAGGTCTTCGATAGAAATTAAGCCTTCCACTGAATACAGACAGTCACATTATCATTTTAAGGTTGAAACTCGAAATTTTGAAAAATTGAGTCTTCTGGTTATAGATTTAGGAATTCACGGACTGGACGAAACAATATATTTTTACCAGATCTGGGCTTCTCTTCAGCGGCCTCATTTTTGGTCTCAGTGGTATAATGTCCCAGCTGCAAAATTTTTAATCAAAAACATTGGGCAATGGCTGCCTTCGAAATTAATGCTTTAACGGCTTTCAATAATGTTTCAGCTGAGGTAATTCGTTTGGTATAGTGTCGCACGCACACGACTCGAAAAAAATTGTTATAACTGCGGTCCCCACCCAACCAGATCACTCGTCATTCATCTGTCTGTCTTAAATAAGCAAACACTGCTGTGTATAAGCGATACAAGAGACTAAGTACCATTC